TGCCAATGCACATTGCTTTGCATTCATAAGACATTGGATAAATAGTTATCTGCTGGCAGTATCATCTCAAGAGCTATTAGACCACCACGGATGGGGCCTAATAGGGCCGATGCCGATACGGAGGACGCGGAGAACATAACGGGTTACCGGGGCTCCGGCTCGACGTGCAGGAGTAGGAACGGGGTGGTTTTTAGTCAGTTCGAGTCTGACACTCCCTCCCATCTCACGCAGGCGGCAGAAGTCACACGATGATTTTACACCCTAAAAAAAAAACTACACGTTGCGCGGCAAGCGGCTGCCGTGCAACGTGTAGCGGTTTCGATTCCCGCGCGGAACAAATCTTTGTGTGATTTACGAATTGTTATTTCTGGCCTGGGTGTTATGTGTATGTGAACTCGTATGTAAACGCAACCAAGACATAGGAGAAAACTAGTGTGGGGCACGCAAAAAAAAATATTGGAAAAGGTTTCCGAAACACTGTGTGCCGAAAGGCCGCAGCGTAGTCTAAGGTTGCCTTGACTACCGGGCATATGGGTCTACTCTACATAAAATGGTTTGCCAACTACCGAGTCCTCAAGCGGTCACCGGTGCCCGCTCTCTACTGAGTCCGTTATAAACCTTATTGTACCCACGTTTAGAGACTACTTTTATATGAACATATGTTGTGGATTTTTCATAATCGTGGATCTTCACGCTCCAGAAAGAGATTGCAGTTTTTAAAAGTAACAGATTCTCTCAAATACCATCCATGAGATCCATGGGAAATAAGGATAGTGGCGTCAAGTATATTCTATTCTACCGTCACTCATACCTCCTTGTTTTGATTTCAATTCTATACATCATCCGTCACAATCAACAATCTCTTCTCAATGCAGGTAGACCTTCTGATTGTTTATATTTTGTTCAGTGGCACATTAATCCTATGGCTGCATTAAATGTATAGCTCAACAAAGTACTAATTGTGACCTGCGCAGTGCAGACGGAACATTTTAGAATCAGACTTGTGCATTCAATGAGATATTTGCAGAAGGTCTACGTTGTTCAGTGTGCGGGACCAAACCGCACACAGCGTGACCATAAACATAACTAAAGTGTAACGCACAGCGCATAGTCTGTAACTGCAGTCGTCACAAATGATGTGTCAAGCCTAATTTGATGTTGCGGAGAACCTAACGGGTACCCGGGGCTCCGGCTCGACGTGCAGGAGAAGGAACGGGGTGGTTTTTAGTCAGTAAGAGTCTGACACTCCCTCCCGCCTCACCCAGGCGGGAGCAGTTATTCGATGATTTTCCACCCTTAAAAAAACCTAATATTGATTTTATTTGCTAAATTATCCTTAATCATCTGAGGTCGACATCTTATGTCAGTCTCTTCTTCTTCCTTCTTGCACTGCATTACACATTTTGTCGCCCACAGAACAAAAAATCTCCAATACCAAGTCACATAGGTACTTTTTAATGACGCATTGTAATATTTTATTCAGTCAGGAAAATCATTTAATGATATCTCCCGTCTTGGTCGAGGCGAGAGAGACTATCAGAATCTTACTGATTAAACGACACTCGGTTGCTACTCCTGGTTCAAACCGGAACCCTGGATGCTTCGTTATTTTATTGATAAACCTTCTGCATCTACCCTTACGCCATCAACCCTATATGTTGAGTGCATAATACAGCAAACTGTAAAGTATTGATCCTGACCTGCGCAGTGCAGTTGGAACATTCTAGAAGTCTAGCTCTGGAGAAATAGCGAGGCGCGGCTTGCAGTCAGTGCGGCCTGCGACGTGTGGCGTGCAGGACGTGTCGGTCCCTGAGCCTCGCTCGGAGCCGCAGTCCTACGTGTCCCATCTCCCTGGCTTTAACATCTCGGTAAGTGGACTAATACCTACATTGATTACAGTTTCTGAAACAGTAACAGTGATTCTTCAGGGTTGCGCGCATCACTGTGAGGGGCGGGCCTTCTCTTCTTCTGTTGCAATTTAGTTAGGGTCTTTGCAATATGACTTCTTTTCTGATACAAACTACTTTCTTCTTACATATCATTCTTCTCCAATTAATTTTTTCTTTGGTCCTCGTTCCATTCACACTCAAAGGCATATTATTTGTTCATTCCTTCTCAGTTCTCCTTATCTTACTTATCCATACCAAGGAAATCTATTACCTGACTTCTCTAACGACCACTCTCAGACTTACTCTAACTGATACTATGTTCCAGGTGACTGATGCTGTGCAGTGCGTCCATTCGTCTCTGACGTTGGTGCAGCAGCTCGTGGTAGCAGCACTTTGTCCTCACTGAGGCATGAGGTAACTATCCTATCTTACTTCTACAGCTAAAATTATCAACAGCTTATTTTGAGGGGAATTACGGAAGTGTGCCGTCCGCAGCCCCGTGCTTACGGTGGCCGGAGATCGTCTCGCGATAATCAATAGCTTGCAGTCTAAAAATTACAGCGAATTTTCTCCCAATGTCTAGAAAGCTCGAAATAAAAATCGGAATTATTTTAAAACAAAGATTCCCATGATATCTCTCTATTTACGAACTGATTTTGATGCTGTTTTCGATGGAGAATGGTGTCATTCTTGAAGTTGAATACTAAATAATGCTGGGAACGGAAAGCTAGGTAAAAATAATCTTGTTGATAGATACTCATATAGTGTGATGTTACAGGTGTCCTGCTAACGAGCTGCGTCACCAGTTCGCTGGAGGCAGGCGGAGGCGCGGTCCTGGCACCAGCCCTCTGACACCAGCGCACTGACCCATCAACCTTCTCATCAGAAATGTAGCAACATTCTCCTCTAGAGTATTGCTACATCTCTATGAGCCCTCTTCCGGATAGATGACTACGGCTGGCGCGGGTCCCTTAAGACCGAGGCAAGGGGCTGATGGACCATGTTTTACATGCGCTCCTTCGTTGGCTCTCCTCGCTCATCTGAGACTCGCGCCTGAACCCGAGGAGTGGAGAAGAGGATTCCACCAAGAGTATCAGTAATAAGCTTTTTATTGCTGGTATTCTTAATATATATCATCGGAGCAACTCTCATCTCCTCTCCTCTGAAAACTTACTTTAGCATGTCCCGATGTGTACGCTCATTAAATAGTATATAAAATAGTTTCTAGTAAAGGAAAACAACAGATATTGTTATACATGTGTATTATGTTATAATATTAATGTTCATGGTGATATGGCACGATGAATAAGTAATCATAAAATGACACGAACATACATAAATGTTTAGGTTAAGGAAACTATGTGTTTTATTTACCACCTTGTCCTTCTCATATGAAAAATCATTTTATGGGATACCTAAGCCGGTAAATCAGCAGACGGATTACCTGATGGGAAGCAATCGGCGTTGTCTATGGACACCCGGAACACCAAAGGCGTTACAAGTGCGCTACCGGCCTTTTGGGGATTGGGAATTTGATGATTGTTGGTGATTCAGGGATTGGGGACATTGGGGATAGGGGGCGCTTATTGAGACATAAATTAAAATATGGTTCTGAGCAAAGTGATTCGGGTTCAAGCCCTGGGTCGGGAAAAGTATTGCATTGTAGTTGATCATCATTTGACTACTACAGCTTTGGTAGAGACAGGGAAACGACGCTCTCTGAGAACACATCTCTGTCTAGCAACCATGGGGATTATGCCTAACCAGGATATACAAAGGAATAAAAACTAATCCCTATTCTGCTGACCGAAAACATGTAATTATTGATGGAAGTTCGACTATGCGCCAATAGATGGCGTTGTACATAATTATTCTAAATCACACAAGATTCCGTACCGTAGCTGTACTTACTGTTGTTCAAAATGAGCCTTACGATAAGCGCTGTGACTACATAACCAATTACTGCACAACGTGGTGCGGGTTCGATTCCCGTACAGACGTTACCCTTTTTAGTCACTGGCAGGATAAGCAAATATTTACATATAGTATAATTGTACATGTAATGTAAATCAATTCTCTCAACTCAAGTTTTATTTCATAAAAAAAATGTTATTTCATCGAGAAAAAAATTAAATTATGAATCCTACGTAACCGGCGGTTAGTCTATTGTCATAATAAAACTAGACCAATATTCAAGACTCCGTGCTGCAGACAATTTATTCGAAAATCCAAAAAATTCCAATAATTTTTGCCCGCTCTGGGAATCGAACTCGATGAACCAGAGATGTCAGTTTTATTTTTTCAGATAATCTGGTTTTTCAATTTTTTCAACATGCAACTCTATTATTATCCTTGCAACTTTTTATATGTCTCTGTCAAAGTCATGCGTAAATGTCAATCATGTATATAGGGTGCCTAGCGTAAGAAATTTTCCGTAAATACAGAGGATAGTGTAGTATGTAGTTTTAAAAGTCATTATATTTTTTTAACAGTTTTTATACGTGAGAGAGGATTAGCTCGGCAAAAATGAGTCAGCTCGGCCGGACTGATACAACACTCAAAACAGGCGTGATACAAAAATTTTCGCCGGGTGAGTGAAGTTATTGTAAGTCTAATTCTCTCCCTCCATCCCTAATCCCCAACAGGCAAGCAATGTACTTTTAACTCGTTGGTGTTGCAACTATCTATACGACTGCTTGTTTAATAAACAGGATTTATTTACTTAACTTCGGCCAAAAATATTTAGAAATTCGGATATTTCTCACAATTTTCCCCGGATTCCGCTATTATCACACACTATCGAAGCGGTATGTTCTATTGCCTTCCTCGACTATATAAATGGACTATACATTCAAATAGAACCAGTGTTACGAATTTAATCCAGTTATGTTTTAATTAACACAAATTAATATTCCATTTGTTTTTAGAGGTATTTTATTTTGGGGATAAATATTTTCGAGAGTTGGTAACACTTGCAATATGTCATGTCAATCAAAATTACTATCTTAGATTGTGTCAACAGTAGGGAGTTTTAATAGTAATTTGCGAATTACTTTCTATAATAAATATTACTTTTCGAATGGAAATGTAATAAATAATAAGACGTAAAACATGGAGGACAATAAAATTGAAACGAATGCGGAGAGTGAACGGAAATTTTCACGACGTAAAGTGTTTAAGTTTTGTTCCATCGCTGTAATAGGTAATTTTTATTAATTTCCTTATTATTTATTAATAATAGTACAATTTATTATTAGCTAAAGTTCCTATCTTTCTCTAGTTGCGTCTTTTTTAATCTTTTGTTCGAAATATAATGTATAAAAATCTGGTCGCAAAATCATTTTCGGATCTCATACTTTATAGTAATATCTTTGTGGCTTAAATGAATCTTAAAGTCATTAGCTACGGATATTTATTTTGCAATTTAATTATTAATGTCTCGATACTAACGTTTGTTTTTATTGTAATCATGTTATTTTTATTAAACTTCATTGTTTTTTAATGTTGAAAGATTCTTATGAAAATATGTTTAGGAAATGTATCTAGGAAGTTGTTTATTATATTTTATTTATTATAAACATGTATTTTTTTAGTTTTAAAAACATTTTTATATTTAACCAGAATTAATGTTATGGTCATCAAGATTAAGAGTGTGTACCAAATGTCAGATTAATTTGTCGACAAGAAGGGGGTGAAATCTCAATTACTAAATTTGACACAAACAAACAAATCACAATAACAGCCTATAAGTGGCCACTGCTGACCAAAAGCCTCTTCTCACATGGAAAAGGTTTAAGTGTTGATCACCACACTTGGTCAATGTGGGTTGGCGGTTTTAAACTTATAATTAGAGTTTATAAGCCCAGCTTTCGTCATGATGTTTTCTTTCACCCTTTGTCAGTGGTGTCTAAATGTTCTTAGAAAGTACATATAACTTGGAAAAAGTCACATTGGTACTTGCCATTAGTAGGTTTCGAACACGCACCCTCATGCATGAGAATCAAGCGTCTTAAACCTCCAAGCCACTAAGACATAAACAAATAAGGTCAAGTTAAATAAAACTGTTTAAAATCTAGCCCATATATCCCCAAGCAGTCACCGGTGACCACTCTCCACTAACTACATTATAGACCTTATTTCCAATGTGTAGAGACTACTTTTGTATAAACAAATTTAGAGGAACTTTTTCAATTGGCTAGTATATTAAATGGCTATAGTTTTGTGCTATAAGGCCTAAAACTATGACAAAGGAAATTTCATATAACTATATGACAAACAGTAGTGTTATATTTATCACTAGCTTTTACCTGCGGCTTCGCTCGCGTCACAAAAGCAAAAAAGGAGGCTGTGACGTAATAACATACCAATACACACAGCGCCATCTATACCAATACTTTTGTTTTCCCTCGGGAATATCACATTTTTTCCAGAAAAAGTATCCTATTATTTAATCCGGACTTCTAACTTTACGTCTGCAAAAATTCAAAGCAATCGGTTTAGTAGTTACGACGTGAAAGCGGAACAAACAAACAAACAAACTCACTTTCCGATTTATAAGATTAGTAAGGATGTACATCTCTGCCTATAAAAGGCTTGATATCATGTTTTGATATAGAAAACTATCTCTAGTAATTAAATCTTCGATCTCCGACCACCGTAAGCGCGGGTCTGCGGACGACGAGCATGGGTGGGTCCCCGTCCGAGCAGAACCAGACCCGAGCGTACGGCGCGTCGCGTTCCACGCGCGCCTCAAAGAGCCATCAGACCACCACGGATGGGGCCCAACAGGGCTGATTTTTTATATTACTCGACGAATCGCTCGACGTGCAGGAGAAGGAACGGGGTGGTTTTTAGTCAGTAAGAGTCTGACACTCCCTTCCGCCTCACCCAAGCGGCAGAAATCATACGATGATTTTTCCAATTTAAAAAAAAAAGTAATCAAATCTTTAGATTGTTTATTGTTATTGCAACTGACAGTAAAACAAATTAATTATGTCAAAGCAAACTCATTAACACACTATACTGATTATAACTTAACATCACGCCTTTTAGCCCTGAAGGTGTAGGCAGAGGTGTTTTTAGTCAGGAAGAGTCTGACAATCCCTCTCACCCCGGCGGGAGAAGACATCGGATGATTACCCCCGTCAAAAAAAAAGTTCCGGGGTCCTTGTGTACAATTGCAACAAACACCTACCTTTACTGACATACTAACTGACAGACTATTCTATATTTAACATTTGATTAATACAGATGGAAATGAATTATTTTATATTAAAACTTTCATGAGACATATTAATTAATTAATTATTGTTTCCGGCTTACTCACTTAATTGTTTGACGAGGAACTCAACTAGTTTCAAGCCAATGTCAGCGACGTCGCGCTGCTACTGCCCGACTATGCGAGTCGCCGCGTCGCGGGTCGCGGAATGCTGCTCATGAATATGAGCCTCTAGCATGGCTTGAAACTAGTCGAGTTCCTCGTTGAACCAGTTACGCGAGTAAGCCGAAAACATAATAAACTAGCTTCTGCCTGCGACTTCGTACGCGTAATCCCATTTTTTCCCGTCCCCGTTCGTGATTTTCGGTAATAAGTAAAAAAAAATGTTGGTTAAAAAGTATCCCATGTCCGTCTCCTGGCTCTAAGCTACCTCCCTACCAATTTTCAGCCAAATCTATTCTGCCGTTCTTGAGTTATAAGTGGTGTAACTAACACGACTTTCTTTTATATACATACTAGGTTCTGCCCGCGACTTCGTACGCATAATCCCATTTTTTCCCGTCCCCGTTCGTGATTTTCGGTAATAAGTAAAAAAAATGTAATCGCAAAAGTCAAAATAAACGTTTTTTTTTTCACGTAAAGCATGCATTCAAAGGTTGGCAGAAACTTAAGAAAAATAAAAATAATTAAGGTCGGCTAATAGGGCGGAGTTGCCTAAAAAGATTTTTGGTTTTCACACAAATTATAAGTATTTTGTGTAAAAAAGAGTAATGTTTAGGTACCCTTCAAGGGCCCCCAAAACTATTTTTTTATACGGGGCCCCAATGCACGCTACGCCACTGCTCTTTTACATAGATTTCATTATACACTTTTGTTACAGCGCTAACACTAGGCTTCGTACACTACCGCTATGTATCAAGTCTCTTCGAAAACGACCGGAGTTTCTCCTACCTATCAGAGATGGAGAGGGAGATGTCTCTGAGAACAGAGATGGGTTTCTATTACTCCTATTATAAAACCATGGTGGAAGAGAAGCCGTTCATCGCTGGGATATCGAAGCTCATGTATGATAGATTGGTTGAGTACCCTAAGGATGTGAATGCATTCAATCGGTTCAATATTTATCCGGAGGTGAGTTTTCAAGGTGTTATGTATTTTTAACCGACTTAAAAAAATGAAAAGGTTCTGTGTTTAGCCTTTATGTATGTATGACTGTTTGTGCGCGATTATCTCGCGATTGGCTGAATCGATTTTGATGCGGTTTTCAGAAAAGTAATACACTTTTTTTTGAGGGGGGAATATTATCCAATGGCTTCTCCCCACCCGGGAGAGGCGGGAGGGAGTGTCAGACTCTTACTGACTAAAAACCACCCCGTTCCTACTCCTGCACTTCGAGCTGGAGCCCCGGAAACCCGTCTTCCGCGGCTCCGTATCGGCATCAGCCCTGTTACAGCCTATAAGTGCCCACTGCTGAGCAAAGCCTCTTCTCACACGGAGAAGGTTTGAGCATTAATCACCACGCTTGCTCGATGCGGGTTGGCAATTTCAAACTTATAATTAGAAATTATAAGCCCAGGTTACCTCACGATGTTTTCTTCACCGTTTGTCAGTGGTGTCTAAATAATCTTAGAAAGTACATATAACTCGGAAAAAGTCACATTGGTACTTGCCGTTGGTAGGTTTCGAACCCACACTCTCATGCATGAGAAGCGGGCGTCTTAACCTTCGGGCCACCACGACGCGGAAATAGCTAGTGTTATCTAAAAAAAATAAAGATATTTATATTTGAAACAACATAACATAACATCACGCCTTTTATCCCGGAAGGGGTAGGCAGAGGTGCATATTACAAATCAAATCAAATCAAATCATGTTTATTTGCTCAAACACATGTGTACATACAATAAACAATAGCATGTAAGATAGCGGGTAACAGTGAAAAAAGTTCGAGACATGTTTGCCGTATACAATGGCGTGCAAATATTACGGCACTCAATGTAATTTTCACACCCACTTTTCACAATAAAATTATGTTATGAGTCCCATATAATAGGGGTGAGCCTATTGCCATATACTGAGCACAATTCAAGACTCAGTGCTACTACTGAGATTTGTTATCTAAAATCCCAGTAATACTTAATAAAGAATACTTAATAAAGCAATAAAGAATTTGAATTTGAATTTGAATTACTTTGCCCGACCCGGGAATCGAACCCGAGCGCGGCAGTCGCACTTGCGACCACTCGGCCAACGAGCCAGTCAATTATTTTCGAAAATAGACTACCTTCGATCAAAAATAACAACTACAACAACTATTGCTATTGTTGATCGAAGTAGACTACAATTACATTATGGTATTTATTTTTAACTTATGTTAATTAAACAATACTTTTTTAAAAAGAGTAACGAATGGAGTTTCTGGCTCGTTCTTCTCCATTCGAATCTACATTTTGGAATGAGCACCTAGCTTCACCTAGTTTCACTGACGGACTGACTGACAGACTATTATTTATTTTGTATTTATTGACGTTTCAAAAGTACCAAACTATGATTTAATTGAAATAAATGCTTTGACTTTGACTTTGAATATCAAATTCCAGGTCCTAATCGGAGCTCTATACCGATACTTCGAGCCATATTTGAACACGTCCTCGCATCGCCAGTGCCACATGGTGGACCGGGGCGAGCTGCCGCCAGTAGAGAGCTGCGTGGGCATTGGCCAGCCGATATTCTTTTATTTAGAGGCAGTATGGTGGCTGGCCGGGTTGACTGTCGCAGCCCTGTTTTTGCATGCTGCTGCTTTAAGGTAAGATTTTTTAAAAAACAAAAACGTTGCCCCAAACTAGGATTTTCTCCCGTGTCGTGGGTGCGTTTACAAACATACAAGTTCACATACACATGACACCCAGATCAGAAACAATAATTTGTGGAATCACACAAAGTATTGCCGTGCGGGAATCGAACTCGCAACACGTTGCACGGCAGCCGGTTGCCCAGCCACCGCCACCTTTAAAATGTTCTATAATTATAATATCAAGATTGTTTAATCTGGTTTCAGTCATCAGGTGGGAGCAATCAGTCGATGACATTCCCTCCTTAAAAAAAGTAATTTTTAATTAATTTTAATTTGCTTATTCTCGTAGTACGATATTTCAGACTCAGTGCTACTACTGAGAACTTTTAAAAAATCCAGTAATACTTTATCCGACCCGGGAATCGAATCCGAGATCCCTTTCCGGCAGTCGCACTTGCAACCAACGAGGCAATCACTGACTTTAGATTACATGCAATACCAATGTCGATCGATCGGAATTGGATTCAATAGTAAGCCACCTGCTTCCGAGCCCCCACGGTTCAACGCCTGTTACAGCACATTCCTAGGGAGACCTGCGTGCCCCTTGATCATATTTTCTCGGTAGCACGTGACCACTGTGTTACCGTCTTCCCTGAGGGCACTGGATGGGCACCTAGAGTCCCCACTCTCCCGAGCGTACGGCACGTCGCGTTTCGCGTGCGCCTCAAAGAGCCATCAGACTACCACAGATGGGGCCCAATAGGGCCGATGCCGATTCGGAGTCGCGGAGAATCTAACGGGTTATCGGGGCTCCGGCTCGACGTGCAGGAGAAGGAACGGGGTGGTTTTTAGCCAGTAAGAGTCTGACACTCCCTTCCGCCTCACCCAGGCGGGTGCAGTTATTCGATGATTTTCCCCCCTTAAAAAAAAGAGTCCCCACTCTATGCATCCGTGGCCCCAACCTCTAAATTTGAAACCTCTTTCCAGTGAAAGCATCCTAGGCGGTTTGCTAGCAGTGGCTCAATACTTCGCGAATCACTCAGAGTGCACCAGAGTGCAATGGGCACCCAACGAGAGAGAGAACTTCGCAGCACCTCTCCTGCTGCTGCAGACCTGGCTGGTATCCATGCAGCTCAGGGATAAACAGAGGAGGACCACTTTTCAGTTGCAAGTAAGATGTTTTTACTATTCTACCAATATATCCTACAATCCTACCAGTATATATATATATATATGTTTATGGCATAAGCCGATAAACGAGCAGTTGGATCACCTGATGGTAAGCAATCGGCGCCGCCCATGGACAGCCGAAACACCAGAGGCGTTACAAGTGCGTTACCAGCCTTTTGGGGATTGGGAATTTGAAGATTATTGGAGATTCAGGGATTGGGGATATTGTCGATGTTTCACGTCGGTTTTCTGCTCGGCCGTGGTATCATTTCGGTCGAGTCGGCCCAGCAGTGCCGAAGCATGGCTCTCCGACACTTAAATTAATGTTACCTTTTGTTTCAGGTGTCCATCTTCATATTGAACTGCCTCTGTCTCTTATTCTGGCAGTTTTCTCAATTCATATTTTTGACCCAAACGGCCATTTTTTTTGTAATGGAACAATTTCGTATAATTGACGTTAAAGCACTTTGTATATTTCTGCATTCCCATTTCTGCGGCCTTCACATGGCTGTCCTTCTTCTACAGGGCAATGATATGCTAAAATCGTCCTTATACGCTTCCTATTTCGTGATAGTATCCGCGTACTGTTTATTCTTCAGCTCTCTAAGGCTTAAGGTTCAAAATCGCGTGGATTTGTTCGTGGAGATATGGCTCATTTTCCTAAGAATAGCTATAGTGACTTTAGCGGCATTTTACTTGAAGAAAGTGTTGAGTGATTTTTTGATTGTTGAAGAAGATTCGCATGTGTGGGATATTTTGTACTCAAAATTCTCGAATTACAAAAATTTTCATACATTAATTTATACTTGTAATGCAGTTTTTGATTTTTTACCCCTAAGTTCGATTCAAAAACTATTTAGATCATTCTTGATACCCTTCGCGATGTTGAGTATCGCTAACATGTGCATTTTTTGGGTTACGAACGCCGTCGATTCGTGCGAGAAAGAGATAGACAATCGAAGCCAAAAGAAAGACAAGGACGGCGATGTATCTGACGAATCCGACTCTGGAATTGAAAATTCAGATTTAAAGAAAAATATAACGGATTTGGACGTTATAGATAAGGAGATAAAGTCGAAGATTGAAGGGGAAGAGACTAGTGATGTGCTTATTTTGGTTTTGAGGCATATGAAGGCTGAACCGGCGATATTTTATAATATATCGCAGATGGTTGTCTATGGTGTCATGGCGGCGCTAGTGATGCGACTCAAGTTGTTGTTCACAACGCATTTATGTATTGTAGCCGCTATTATGATGAATTCTAAATATTATCCGTGAGTATAAACATTTTTTTATTAACCTCGTTGGCCGAGTGGTTGCAAGTGCGAGTGCAAGGGGTCTCGGGTTCGAAACCCGGGTCGGGCGAAGTACACCCACTTCTCTCTATTTATGTTATGAGTCCCATGTAATAGGGTGTGAGCCTATTGCCATATACTGGGCCCAATTCTAAACTCCGTGCTACTACTGAATTTTTTTCTTAAAAAACCCCAATAAATCTTTGCCCGACCCGGAAATCGAACGCGAGACCCCTTGTCCGGCAGTTGCACTTGCGACCACTCGGCCATAGAGACAATCAGCTGTTAGGAAACTAAATTCAAAACCGAAAATAACTCAAAAATTAATGAGGATTAAGTCTGGGAAAACTTTCGAAAATTTGACAAAGCCTAGAAAATTATCAGCAAGAATGGTATGCGGAAGAGGTATGTAAGAATCGTAGCGGTAATTGGGTCTCCGGTAACCTCACTCACACGACGAAACACAACGCAAACGTTGTTTCACGTCGGTTTTCTGCTCGGCCGTGGTATCACTCGAGCCGGCCCATTCGAGCCGACGCATGGCTCTCCCACACTTATTAAAACTTCATAAATCATATTTCAGCATCCCGAAGTCCTACAAGAAGTATCTCCCATTCTTCTGGGCAGTGTGTATGTCTCCGCTCATACAGGACATGTTGCAAAGTATACCGAAGGAGATGTCGCATATAGGTGAGTTAAAAATAATTCATTTAACCTTCAAGTCCTGACGTGGTTTACTCATACTATAAATGGTGACGTGACGTATGTCAAACACCATTTTTTTATGGTATAAAAGGCAATCGAGCTGACAGATCACCTGATGGTAAGCGATCAGCGTCGCCCATGGACACTCGCAACACCAGAGGAGTCACAGGTGCGTTGCCGGCCCTTTAAAAAGGAATACGCTTTTTTCTTGAAGGTTTGAAGGTCGTATCGGTTCGGAAATACATACGGCGACAGATCATTCCACAGTTTTGCTGTGCGAGGCAGATTCGAAATAAATAATTAAAAAATAATAAAAACGACCTTAATAAATAATCGAAATGGATTACTTTTATTTACTGATTTACTTGTATTATGATCGGTCCAGTGAACAGCGAAATAATTTATTTTTGATTAAGTATAGTACCCAATTTATAAGCCCAGGTTTCCTCACGATGTTTTCCTTCACCGTTTGTCAGTGGTGTCTAAATAATCTTTGAAAGTACATAAACTCGGAAAAAGTCACATTGGTACTTGTCGTTGGTAGGTTTCGAAGCCGCGCTCTCATGTGTTAGAAGTGGCGCCTTAAACCTCCGGGCCACCACGACATTATTATATTAACTAACTTCTGCCAGTGACATCGCCCGCGTTTCCAGGGATTTAACAGCCGATTTGACGTGATTGAGTAAACACAAAACAGACAAACTTTCACATTTAAAATATTCATAACATAACATCGTATGTCATACGGAAATTAATGTATAAGTTTTTAAATATAAATCTCAATAATATAGGAATAGGAACTATCTAAGTGATTAATATTGTAATAGGTTTAAGTTTCTTTTTAGTATTCTAGAATGTAAGTATTTTGGCTCTTGCTGTAAACTTTCATTTTAATGTAAATAAATAAATGAAATAAATAAATTACGCCTTTTATCCCCGAAGGGGTAGGCAGAGGTGTACACAGAAGTAACACCCACTTTTCATTATTTATGTTATAAGTCCCATGTAATAGGGGGTGAGCCTATTGCCATAAACCGGGCACAATTCCAGACTCCGTGCTACTACTGACATTTATAATATTCCTAGGGTTAAAAAAACATTTGTGAAATTTTCAGGTGAATTCAGCGACATAAACCAAGAACAGTTGCTAGAGTGGATCCGTGCGGACACGCCCGTGACCGCGGCATTCGCGGGATCGATGCCCATCCTAGCCACAATCATGCTAGTCACGAGGCGACCTATAGTTGCGCATCCACACTATGAGCACTTAGATGCCAGGTATGTTGTTGTCTCATTCTAACGCTATTTTATTAATGCTGTCTCTTTTTAATTACATATTATCTGAAGAAGTAGACTTTTCTTTAAGGGTGGAAAATCATCGAATGACTGCTCCCGCCTGGGTGAGGCGGGAGGGAGTGTCAGACTCTTACTGACTAAAAACCACTCCGTTCCTACTCCTGATGCTCGGCGCCGTACGCTCGGGTCTGTTTCTGGTCGGACGGGGAGCCACCCATGCTCGCCGTCCGCAGGCCCGCGCGGTGGCGGAGATCATATGATATCTGTGTCTAACGCTATTTTATATACTATATATATTATATATTTTAAATATTTTATATATTTTATATAAATAATAGAGGTCTTAGATTACGCTGGGGCCCCCTGGGACCCTTTGAAAAACAACAATTCAGGGCGCTTGTAAAATGTTTCTTTTTTAACGTTGCCCCACACTAGGGTTTTCTCCTGTGTCGTGGGTGCGTTTACATACATACAAGTTCACATACACGTGACACCTAGACCCGGAACAATAATCTGCGGATCACACAAAGTGTTGTTCCGTGCGGGATTCGAACCTACTATGTTGCGCGGCAGCCGGTTGCCGGGAGTGTGTCTGTCGTAGCAATTGTCGGTCTTTCAGGGCCTCCTGAGCATGAGGATGGGCACGAGCACCGAGTGCCCTTATGGTTAACCCCTCGAGCGTCCTTATGAGCACCCGGTGGATCATAAGAAAAAATGCTCCATGCTGCTTTCTCTTTTATAAAATCTATTATTTATGTTTTGTTTTTATTTTGACTGTATTTGTTTTATTTCTATTGTAATGATCCTTGTTTTCGTGTGCCAATGGGCAAATAAATGCATTTTCTTTCTTTATTTCTTCAAATGTCACGTGTGCACCCGTTGGATCATAAGGAACGCGGACGCTCGACGGGTTAAGACGGTACTATCACAACTGTTCAATTTCAGAGAGCGAGCGTACACAGTACACAAGATGTACGGCAAGTTCACTCCTCATGAGTTCTACCAGGATCTCACCAAGCTGAAGGTCAGTTACCTCGTCGTAGAGACGAAGTACTGCTATGGAAGGAGCAGGTAAGTCTTATATATAACATAACATAACATCACGCCTTTTATCCCCGAATGGGTAGGCAGAGGTGCACATTATGCCGCTGTACAATGTAACACCCACTTTTCACTATTTATGTTATGAGTCCCATGTAATAGGGAGTGAGCCTATTGCCATATACCATGCGCAATCCAAGACTCCGTGCGACTACTGAGAATTTTTTTAAAAACCCAGTAATACTTTGCCCGACCCGGGAATCGAACCCGAGACCCCTTTGCCCGGCAATCGCACTTACGACCACTCTGCCAACGAGGCAGTCATATATATATAGATTATTTATTCCTATTGGTAGCAACAGTAAATTCTAGATTAGGTATATCTAAACATCAAGACAAGCTTTTTGTAGATCATTTAAATTGGGCACAGTATTTATGGTCATGCAAACTAAACGTGTATACAAAATTCCAGCTCAATCGGTCGAAGATATCTGCTACAAAATTTTGTCTTTTTTATGGCATAAGCCGGTAAACGAGCAGACGGATCACCTGATGGTAAGCAATCGGCATCGCCCATAAACACCTGGAACACCAGAGGCGTTACAAGTGCGTCACCGGCCTTTTGAGAATTGGGTATTTAAGGATTGTGGAGGAATCGGAGACTGGGGGGGGGGAATTGGGCGCTTCGGTAACCCTTTGGTGGTTTCACTCCGGTCGAGCTGACACATTTGTACCAAAGCATAGCTCCCCACACTCCACCAAGTTTGCAAGATTCGACTTCACACACATCCTTACTAATTAAATCTGAAAGTGAGTTTGTTTGTTTGTTTGTTTGTTCCACCTTCACGCCGTAACTACTCAACCGATTGCTTTGAATTTTTGCAGACGTAAAGTTAGAAGTCCGGATTAAATAATAGGGTACTTTTTAACCCGGAAAAAATTGATATTTCCGAGGAAAAACAAAAGTATTTGTATAGATGGCGCTGTGTGTATTTCTATATATATGTGTGTCACATAGGCTACTTTTTATTCTTTTGTATTCGCGAGCGAAGCCGCGGGTAAAAGCTAGTACAAAATATCGTAAAATTATCTTGTGTAAGTTCACTGGCTGGACTTAATTCCTTCTCTATACAAGTAGGTAGTTAGTAAAAGTAGTTTTTTTTTTAATATTTTATAGATACTAGACCTAAGTAATGCAAATCCTAGGCAATATTAAATTATGTAACAGTTATTAGTTGTATCTGAATAAAGGGCTATTTTATTTTATTTTATTTTATTTATTTATTATACAAGTAGGACTTGTACTAATCTCCACACTTATCAGGCGGGTTGGTGATACACATACATAACATCACGCCTTTTATCCCCGAAGGGGTAGGCAGAGGTGCACATTATACCAGTGTACAATGTAACACCCACTTTTCACTTTTTATGTTATGAGTCCCATGTAATAGGGGGTGAGCCTATTGCCATATACCGGGCACATTTCCAGACTCCGTGCTACTATTGAAATTAAAAAAACAAAAAAAATTGGCGGGTTGGTGATAACATATTTTAATGTTGCATTCTCTGTCAAATGTGTCCCTTAGTCGGGTATACGACACTCGGGTGAAGAATAGGGCTTGTATATTATTCTTTTCTTGCCATGCTTATATCAATTTTTCTATAATTCCAGTACAGGATGTTCGTTCGAGAACATATGGGACATAGAGACGCCCTGGTTGAGTAAACGTCCCACCATCTGCTCAACCTTACTCACCCAACCAGTCGACCACTTCTATCCCGTGTTCCGAAACGAACATTATGCTGTATTCAACATCCATGATTATAGCGTTCGGTAAGTTTTATATTTCATTTATTAACTAGCTGATGTTCGCGGCTTCGCTCGCGTAGCCTATATAGCCTAAGTTACTCCTTAGTATATCAGCTATGGGGTCATTCAAATATTACGTAAGCAGATTTTTTACAATGATTTACCCCCCATCCCCCTCGTCAGCAAAAGTAAGCAAAGATCTTACCCCCTCCCCCTTTGCTTACGTAAACATTTTAAATTATATATTTTTTATACATATTGTAATTTTAATATTCTCTTAGATACCATAATGTCATAATGTCTAGTTCTTTGTCGATCTTTGCTTGTAATTTATAATTTCAACGAATAAAAAAGTAAATAACTACCGATGACGTAATCATCATCTAGACCCCTACCCCCATATCATCCAAAATAGCGAAACAGAGACCCCCCCCCATGGTGATTACGTAATACTTGAATGGCCCCTATCTGCCAATAAAAGTCCCGTCAAAATCGATTCAGCCATTTCAGAGTTAGCCACAGCAAACAGAAAGACAGACAAAAATTGATCAAAATATAGTTTGACGCGGTTACGTACACATACACAACCTCACACCTGTCTTACAAGGAGGTAGGCAGAGACTATTTTTTTTAAGAGGGGAAAATCATCAAATGACTTCTGCCGCCTAAGTGAGGCGGAAGGAAGTGTCAGACTCTTAGGTACTCACTAAAAACCACCCCTTTCCTACTTCTGGACTTCGAGCCGGAGCCCCGGTAAACCGTTAAGTCCTCCGCGACTCAGTATCGGCATCAGCCCTATTGGGCCCCATCCGAGGTGGTCTGATGGCTCTTTGAAGTAGAAACTATCGTTTTTTTTCTTCTCCTCTTATAATATCTTCTGATTCACTTCGTTGCGGGAACCAAGACAGTTACTCATGTGCCTGGGACGTTGGACTTCAGTGTTCCGATGTTTTCATGGTTGTATCTACTGTGAGTCATTCACAAACAGTAAAAAAAACACAAAGTAATTCATAATCTCATTTATTTTCTTACTATAATTATTATGTATGCTGATTTATAACCTATCTCCTTCTCTCATTCCAGATATATGCCTCGCAGCTTCGAATCTTGACATCCGGCCTCTCACTCTAACTCAAATAAGACTGACACACTTAGTTTATTAGCTGTAAGGTGAATATAAAGAAAAGCAGATGGCGCTAGCGTAGTTTTTAGTCACCTCTAAATAGCAACTGTCGACTGCAGGACTAGCCTTCTCTATATAAGAAGGATTGGAGATCGCAGTATAAAAGGTTCAGGTTTATCAGAGAGCGCTGCTGCCTGGTTTTTGACGTCGGGTGTATGATACCCACGGGAAGAAAAGAGGTTGATTAATGTATTCTTCTCTGCCGTTACCACACGGTGTATATGTGTTGTGTAATAAATATCAAACTTTTAAGCTAATACTAATGTGACCAAAATAAAATACTTATCTTCGTGGCGCTGTAGTCGATTTTGGCGTCCCTTTGTAAAGACAATTTGTATGAAAAAATTAGTTCTTGAAAAATCCGTTGTTTGAGGAATACCAACTAGTCTTAATTACCTTGATAACTGTAAATATTTCATTAACACATGGTCGTTTTCACCAACCATCTCTTAACTAAGAGTTATTTAGTTAAGGGAGCACCTAAACCATAACCCTTACTTAACTATAGGTGGCACTTATAGGTTGTTAATAACCAAAATGTCGGTAAGTGTCACCTATTTTACCTTAGAAATTCCTTAAAATTTAAGGATGGTTTGTGAAAACGGGCAACAGTGTTCTTTATTTTCTTAGTTATAAGATCGATTTTCCTAAAGCAAGTGTTACTATTTTAAAATGTAAATAATTATATTGTTTCTAATATTATAAGTTGGTCTTATGACTAGTTGCAAATTTAACTACTGAGCACAAAGTCTCAGGTTCGATTGCTATGTATTAACTATTGGTAATTTCGAATTCGCGATGTTTATTTTATTATTTATGTATACCATACAGACAATACACAGAAAAAAATATATATAACAAAACAGAGGTACATAGGTACTGCATATCCCTTATGGGATGTTCGAATTTATCAGTAACTAGCTTCTGCCCGCGACTTCATACGCGTAATCCCGTTTTCTCCCGTTCCCGTAGGATTTTCAGGATTCTTTCTGTCATAAAAACCTTCTATTAATAACAAATACAACAAAAAAAGAATTAGTGAAATCGGTCCAGCCATTCACGCGTGATGCCGCCGTGACCAAGGGAAAAAGGGATTCATTTTTATATATACCTACATACATATGTATTTTTTTTTACGGGGAAAAAATCATCGAATCACGCCCGGGTGAGGCGGGAGGGAGTGTCAGACTCTTACTGACTAAAAACCACCCCGTTCCTTCTCCTGCATGTCGAGCCGGAGCCCCGGTTACCCGTTAGGTTCTCCGCGACTTATACATATGTATAGAAGATATTACGAAGTCTGGAATAGGAATAATGACCAAAAATGTTTTTAATGTCCGTCTAGAGGACTTAGGACCAATTTGTTATACGATTTTTATATAATAGGAGGCAAACAAGCAGACGGATCACCTGATGGTCAGCAATCGGCGTCGCCCATGGACACCCGAAACACTAGAGACGTTACAAATGCGTTACCGGCCTTTTGGTGATTAGGAGTTTGAGGGTTGTTTGGGGATTCTGAGATTCGGGGGAGGATTATTTAGCCGGCCCATTCGTGCCGAAGCATGGCTCTGAAGCGACCGGAGTGATACCACGGCCGAGCAGAAAACTGACGTGAAACAACGCTTGCGTTGTGTTTCGTCGTGTGAGTGGATTACCGGAGGCCCAATTAAGCACTTGTAACGCCTCTGGTGTTCCAGGTGTCCATGGGCGACGCGGATTGCTTACCATCGGGTGATCTGCTCGTTCTGTCTGTCTGTCTGCTCGTTTACCGGCTTATCCCATAAAAAACGACACATAAAAATACGTGTCTTTAATTTTTTAATTACCTAACTGACAGACTAATTAGATTTTTAATTTTCATTTCCTGTCATCATCTCTATTGTATCCGATATCGATACAATATAAGAGTACTTCAAGTATACCCCTTTGGGTTTAACTCGTCGAGTACCGGTTTTATAGACACAATTAAAGAACAATAGGTCGCGGTCACCGGTGACCGCTTGGTGTTTGACAGATTAAAAAGCGTGATGTTATATTGTTTTTTTTATTTTATACTGACTATAGTATGATACAGTATTCCTTGTTTTTTTTAATGAAATTTTTATTTTAAGTTGTTTATCTTTGGTTTCTTTTATTAATAGAATTTAAGGCTCGAATGTAATTATTTGTATTATTAATACATATTTATTATATACATATTATATAAGTTGCAATATAATTAAACATTAATTAGTTTTAAGGGAGTTGGAATTGTACCTACCCGGTATATGGCAATAGGCTCACCCCCTATTACATGAGACTCATAACATAAATAGTGAAAAGTAGGTGTTACATTGTACAGTGGCATTATTGTCGGAATACTGAAACGCTACTCAATTTTAAGTCGCGCTTAACTATAGTTCTGTCACCACTAATTCTTTGTAAAATGACAAAGATGGCACGATATTTGAGCACGACTTAAAATTGAGTAACTTAATGTGCACCTCTGCCTATCCCTTCGGGGATAAAAGGCGTGATGTTATGTATAATTAAATACTAAATAGTTTTAAGTTAAAATCTAAGAATGAGCGATTTATTTTCATTGATTAATTTTGTTTAAAAATTTTATAAAACTTACTATTGTTATTGGCCACAAGTTCGACTGCTAAAGGCGAATCTACACATTGGGCCAATTTGGCGTATTGGACCAGCAAGTTTGTCCAATATATATTGGACTAGCTTTTACCAGCGGCTTCGCTCGCGTCACAAAAAGATAAAAAGTAGCCTATGTGACTTATACCAATACACACAGCGCCATCTATACCAATAATTTCGTTTTCTCTCGAGAATATCAAATTTTTCAGGGATAAAAAGTACCCTATTATTTAATCCAGACTTCTAACTTTACGTCTGCAAAAAATCAAAGCAATCGGTTTAGTAGTTACGGCGTGAAAGTGGAACAAACAAACTCACTTTCCGATTTATAATATTAGTAAGGATTACTTGGCGTTCGTATCGTGATGGTCCGGAGGTTTAAGACGCGCGCTACTTATTTTATTTATTTACACTTCATGTAGGTATACAAAGGCGGACTTAATGCCTAGTGGCATTCTCTAACAGTCAACCTTAGGGTGATGCAGAGAGACACAATAGTAGGTGTAAACGTTTACCACTTGTGAGCTTTGATCATCCATTGACATACTTATGCATGATACCGCATACTTATGCATGCGGGTGCGAGCTCGAAACCTACTAACGGCAAGTACCAATGTGACTTTTTCCTAGTTATATGTACTTTCTAATATTATTTAGACACCACTGACAAATGGTGAAGGTAAACATCGTGAGGAAACCTGGACTTATAATTTCTAATTATAAGTTTGAAATCGCCAACCCGCATCGAGCGAGCGTGGTGATTAATGCTCAAACCTTCTCCGTGTGAGAAGAGGCTTTGCTTAGCAGTGGGCATTTATAGGCTGTTGATGATGATGTTGTACTTGGCGTTCAAAGTCCAAATCAAAATTTATAATACCATTTTTTTAATTTACCCATTATTTGGTACTTCTGAAATGTTCAGGTATAAAAAGCGTGACGTTATGTTATGTAGTAATTTCAACCAATATATGAGTAATTCAACTTATTTAATTACATGTCAATAAATTATTCAAATGCAATGTAATATGATGGAATGTCAGATTGGAATACTAAATATAAAATAACTCATTTATAATTCACTATTTTGGCCCAACATGTTAGAACTATACGTTGGCTCCGTGTGTAAACAGGGACATTTACAATAGGTACACTATATTGGCGCTATGTGTAGACTTGCCTTAAGGAATCGCACGTTCGATTCCCGGGTCGGATAAAAAGATTTTTAAAAATGTTTCTGTAATTAGCTATTTATGATAAGGGACTCATGACATGACTTGTGAAAAGATCCTGTTAAGTTGTATATGTCCATCTCTGTATACCCCTTTAGAGATTATAAAGCGTTATTTTTTAATATAAAAATAAAGTAATTTTTTAATTTCTTAAAATATGGTTGTGCATTTTACTATAATGTACTTTAATAGTAAATTTTTTAAACTGTTTCACAATTCTGTGCAAGTTCCCAAAAAAATATCAAATATTTAAGATTTTTTTATTATTAAATATGAATAACTGCCAATAATATAAAATAGATTTTATAAAATTAAAACTAGCTGCTCTGCTCGACGCCTATTGATCGTGTTTTATAGCCAATAGCTTCTTCGATAAAGGGTCTATGCAACACAAAATGTTTTTTTCAAATCGGACCAGTTATTGTACCTACCTGCTTAATTTTAGTATGAAATCGAATGTTTAGTAATTCACTTATGTTAGCAGCCCAGCAGCTGTAGCCAAATGCCAATTAGCGCTTGTCTACATGTAGAATAGAAAACCAAATTATGTATATGGAATTATTATATTTTTTAGCGTCAAACAGCTGAATTATTTCTTAAAAAAATGCTGGGAAAATACTAAAATTAAGTCGGCCATAAAATCAATTGTGATTGTTTTTTAATATTTTATTGTATTGAACAGTCGAAATTATTCATTTTTGATTAACCTTTTGAACGCCAGAGCAAAAACGCATGAACTTGCCCTCAACGCCAGGCCACAAATTCACCGCAAATACCTACGAAAAAAATAGGGATTCCAAAACTTCATCGATAATCAATTTTATTTTTCATTTTCGTCTTTAATTTCGAAATATAATGTCCTTATAACATTGAAATTTAATTCAACATTACATTTCTTCCTATTAAAGTAATAGTTATACACTATTTACAGACTTGTATAATACCGTAATAACAGATATGAGACTACAATATATTTAAATATAATAACTGTAGGTACAACACTATTCTTGATCTGCTGTCTTCATATTGTGACCATGGCGTGGACGGCCCGCCATTTTAATA